GTGAGGCTGGACAACAGAAAGAAGTGTATCCTCCACAGTAATAGGGAAATTAGGAAGAAGGGGGAATTTGAAGGGGAAGGGGTGGATATAATGAGCTTATTTTTTTGACATGTTGATTTTAAGATGTCTATGGGACAACCAGTTTGAGATGTCCCATAGACAGTTGGAGATGCAAGACTGGAGGTCAGAAGAGAGGTTAGGAATGAATTAGTAGATTTAAGAATCATTGGTATAGAGATGACAATTGAATCCATGGGAGTTGACCAGATAACTAAGTGAAATAGTATAGTGGTTGAAGGAAAAAGGACTGAGATTGAGTCCTTTGGGACAGCCATAGTTAGTGGGCATGACTTGGAAGAAAATCCAGGAAAGAAAACTCAGTGATAGGCAGGCAGGAGGAGAACTAAGAGATAGCAATGTCACCAAAACCTAGAGAGAAGATGATAGAATCACAGGCTGCAGAGACATTAAGAAGGAAGAGGTTTGAGAAAAGGCCATTATATTTGTGAATTAAAAGATCACAAATAATTTTGGAGAGAGCTGTTTTGGTCAAATAAGGTTGGATAGATGAAGAAGACAGTAAGAGGAAAGGAAGTGAAAATACCTATTGCAGATTGTCTTCTCAAAGGAGTTTAATCATAAAAGGGAGATAAGATAATGGATGGTAGCCACCGATCAAGTGAGGATGAGGGAGACTTGGACATGTTTGTACGCAGTAGGGAAGCAGCCAGTAGATAAGGAGAAATTGAAGGTAAGTGAGAGTATGGTGGGTGGGCAGGAACTTATAGGAGGATATGAATAAGAGGTACACAGGATGGGCAGGCATCGATCTAATTGTTAATCTATTTTCATAGTTATTAATTATTTTTATAATATGTTATTGACCCACTGAGTATTCAGTGCATCATTACTTAATGTCCATTTAGCTCTACTTCTTATGTTATCTGTATGAATTAATATGTTTCCTGCAGTATCATCTGTAAAGGAAGTATAGAATATTTATGCCTTTTTACATTTATTTATATCTGTGTTGCAAGACATAGCGTATTTTTGTACAGGTATCATATGATGCTGAGAAATATGTATGTTTAATGTTCCCATTCAGAAGAATGACCTATGAGTCATTCAAATATTGCTTTTCCAGGAATCTGTTAAATTATTTGTTTTAATATTTGTTTATGTTTTTGTTAGACTTATTTAGTGTTCTGCAATTACTATGTTATTGTATCTTTTTTCAATTTGTTACTTTTTTCCTTTATTAATTTAGATGTGATGCCATTTTAGGGCATATGATTTTTAAAATATTATTGTTTCGTTGTGTATGGTTCCCTTAATATGATTGTAGTTCCTCTGTTTATTTCTTGTTTTAATGCAAATTTAAATTTTTGCTTTGTCTGATAGCACAGTTGCAAATCCTGCTCAAACTTTCCTTTGGCTCTTGCTTTCTCTCTCCCCACTGAAAAGACTTCCCATTGTTATCTCTCCCCCCCACAAAATATTGGTTCACTTATAGGGAAGCATAGGTAGGTATAAGGATTATTAATTCAGCTCTTCATCCTTCCTTCTCTTGATTTAAATTTTTAGCCTCCGAGTTCCTTGATCCTTATGTCCCTTGATGATCCCTCTTTGTTCTTTCTTGTAGCCTTCAATCAGATTTCTTTCCGTTCTTTTTTTTTTTTTTAAATAAACTTGTCTTGCTCTAGGTACTTGGGAAAATTGATTTCTTTATTTAGTTTTTGTTCCTTTGTTTGATGAAATCAGTTTGTCCTCTCTTAGGGCCACATCATTCCCTAGAACACATAGTTCTCTGAAAGGGCTGCAATGTATAGTGTGAATCTTTTGTCTTGTGTTTTCTGTCTGATGAAATAAAGCCTATCTTAAATTTGACATATTGGTGCTCTGAGAGGTTGCACGGAAGTTCAAAACCCTTTTACCTTTAATTTAGATTCATAGCCATGAGCTACATCCTGATTTTTCCAGAGGAGACCCTGGGTGGGTGCAAAATGAACAGAATTTGGATTTTCCCAGGGAGAAGTCTGGGTGGTGGAATGAACCAAAGATCAATTAAGAGCCCATTTGAACTGGATCTGTGTAAAATTAGAGTGTTGGTTCTGGGCCGTGAGGTTACATTTGTTCTTATGTTTGGATTTTCTCTTTTCTGCTTGTTGAATTTCTACCTATCTTTTAAAGCTCAACTTAAATTCCTTTTTCATATAATGTTATCTTTCTGGTCACTAAAGACCTTCCCCCTTGGAGCTCATAAGGCACTTTGTTTTATACATCCTTAATGCACTTATATAGCACTATATTATAATTGTCACTATTTGTGTCTTTCCTCTCATTGGACTGTAAATTCCAGAGAGTTGAGGACTATGTCTTATGTAGACCCTGTGTTTACCACATCCTGGCATATAATGGGACCTTAATAAATGTTCTGTGAATGAATGAGTTCCACTTTCTGTCCCAGGCTTATACTTGGAGCTTTTACATCTTGGCCAGAATTTTCAAAACCAGACCTCAGGCTACCTTTCCAGACTCACTGAACATTTCTCTTTTCCTTTATTCTGTGGTGTAGCCAAAGTGGTCTTTTCTGTGTTCCTCATGACATTTCATCTCCTATTTCCTTGTCTTTGCACTGATTTTACCCCATCTCATAGAATCCCCCTCTTCTTTCAAGACTCAGCTTATGCACAGTTTCCTACATGAAGTCTTTCCTGACCACCCCTCTCATCTGCTAGAGCCCTCCCCCCTAAACAACTGCTTTGTATAATTTTTTATTTGTTTTTTTATTTATTGTGTTTATACTTATTCATGTACTGCTGCATCCCCCCAGTAGAATGTAAGCACCTTGTGAGTATGGATTGTTTTATTCTTTGCTTTTGTATAGTGCCAGGCCAGCTGGCACACCTCATGTATCACCACACAAGAGTATTCCCCTCTGTAGGCATGAGCCCTTGGATGTACAACTAATGAATTGGGGGAGGGAGCACAAGTCTGCCTTGGGAGGGGTAAGGAATATTTCTTGTCCTTTCCATTGAAGAATCACCTCTGCTACTATGATCATTAAGGGAAGAATCTACTAAAATCTAAGTCCTTGTAGCTTCACAATGCCTAGTTTAGTGTTGAGAAACTCAAATATTTGTTTATTTTGTTTGACGTCCTGCCAAGCCCAGTGAGATTGCATATCTCTTGGCCATCCATAGATCCTTACTCAGGGATATTTATGTCCAGAGAAAATAGCCCAGGTCCTGTCCCCCATCCCTTCACTATAGTATGGGGGGGAGGGAAGGGGAGAAAGAGAGAGAGAGGGAGAAAGAGAGAGAGAGAGAGAGAGAGAGAGAGAGAGAGAGAGAGAGAGAGAGAGAGAGAGAGAGTTAATTTCTCAAGTATAAGAATAATTAATAAATATGATTGTAACCTACCTTTCAAATGTACAGTACTGAATAAATGCTAAATTATATAATAAAAACTGAGTTAATTTAGTTTGAACTTGGTCAGCAATTATTAAAGAAAATAACTTCTGATAGTCAAATTAAAGGTTCCTATGAGAAAAAAAATCCGCAGAGTACCCGAAATAGTTGTGAATTTGAAACAGATTAACTCTACTTCCATTGTCATCATTCAGAGGCAGCTACTTTCCCTGCTTAAGACTGACAATTAGCAACAACAATAATACATAAACAACCACATATATAAAGTACTTTGGGATCATATTTGCTTTTAATGTTGTTATTCTATTTGTCTAGTGACATCACTGTGAAAACCACACCCAATTTAATATTATTGATGATCAGCATCTTTTTAACATAACTGAAAAGAGAATGCATATTGTGCTGTTAACTAAGACATATCATTTATCTATGGCCATTATTAACTTTCATGCTAATAATGCTTGCATTTTCACATGTGGGACTCTATAACTCCTGCATTTCTGTTTCTAATTGCAGGATTTATTTATGCATTAAGGTAAATAAGCAATCTTGTGACTTGAGTCTAAAATACTCAGGATAAAATCTGCTTAGGTAAAATGATTTTTTGCTTACTTAGAATGGCTCATATACAAAAGTAAAAGCATTTTATTTGTTAAAACAAATGTGATCTTTTATTTTTATACCACCTACATGTTTACATCACCTCAATGTCATGTCTGCTTAGCATCTGCCTTCCTTTATAATAAAGAATAAAAAAGAGAAAAAAATAGTTCAGCAAAACTAACCATCACATAAAAAACAGTCTGACATTCTCTGTAGTGCTCCTTACCCATAGTCACCCAACTGCTGCAAATAAGAGAGGGAAGTGCCTTATATCTCTCTTCTTCAGGGACATCCCTGGTCAATTATAGTTTCATAGCATTCAGATTCGTTTGTTCTATTTTGGTTATTCTTTCCTATGGGTTCATTTGGAGTTCTGCATCTGATGCATGATTCCTTTTTTTTTTTTTAAACTGGTTGGAGGGTAAAAGGGATTTGGAGACAACAGAAGCTGCCATCTTGTTGGTCTTGTGACCTGGAAAGTAATAGCGTTTTCAATCCCTTAAATGTGTACTTTACCTCTTACTCCCATCTTCACATCCATTTTGAATGCGACACAAAAGTACAAGTGGAATAAACTTCATAACTCTGAAATGATTTTAATTATTTAGAGCACTAATATGTTGTTTAAAATTGTTACCTGTCAACATTCATGTTACTTCCCATTCTAGAAAATGGCGTAAGGAAGCTCTAGGAAAAATGAGCTGTGGTTTCCAAAAGTTGAAGGAATTTTGAGCAGCCAACAGGAAGAAGAACAGCCCTTCTGTCCTAAAATCTTTCTCTTTCAATTGCATTCAGTACAATTCATTGACAGACATAACACTGTGGTAAGCAGGCCCAAAGTTTGGCTGAGACAGAATCAAATCCCTTTTGGAGGAAGGCTTTTCAGTATACAAATATTCCATTACTCTAATAGGCTTCAAAGTAAGGAAGTAATATGCTGACTCCCCTTTTTGTTTTTTCCTACAGTAATGTTCTCTGCTGCATCAGTCTGATGGCAGGTGACTCTTAACTCTTGAAGGCTGTGCCCAGATACTTCCAAGCTGGTCAGCTTCGAACGGGAGCCTGGTGGTCATCTGTTGACCCAGGACCTCAAGTGAAACTTGAAGAGGCTCAGGATATATTGTTCAGCAATAACAACTCAAGGAGACAGTCCTGCTAAGGCAGAGGGGAGGTGAGTTCATCAACAGATTTCTTGAAAGAGATGAGCTTGAAGAATGGGAGATGGCCATGATTTTGTAGGGAGGAAAAGAGTAAAAGAGAGAGCCTGATTCTTGTCACTATTCAGGCGCTTCTCCAAGTTTAAATAGTTTCAGATTTTAAACCCTCTTTTTTTGGTCTGCTGTTTGACCGTGAGTAGATTTGGAAAATTCTAATAGTAAAAAAAAAAAATTGGTAATTTTAAAAGTTGAAGATGCTGTTTAGAGATGAAGAAAAATAATTTGTAAAAGAAAGAGAAAATTGAGTTAGACAAGAAAGACCCAGTTTCTTCTCCTGTTTGAAGGCATCTATTGTCTGTACATATGTTTTTTTTTTTTCCCTGCTAAATCAAACACTGTAATATAGGGGATTTTGAGGATCCTGCCTGCCTAAGCACCAGATGCCATTCACATTCCAGAGAATCAAAGGTGTCCTGTTGAGCAGTCTTGTGTGAATGAGAATAAGGTCTTGAATAAATTGCTCACAAAATCCATGCTAAACTAAGCCCTGTATGGTTCCCAGTGGTCACATATGTCTTATACACAAATCTCTGCAATGGTTCACTGACCTCTGGGACCTCCCACACCTCAGTAAATGGGTCAGCAGGGGCACTTGTCTTTAAAACACAAACACATGGACATGCACACAAACATACATACACAGAGCCCTTAGGAATTCAAGCTAACTGTCATATCATCTCTGTCACATGAGTTAATGGAGTAATAATTATTGCTAGGCCTGTTGTAAAGGCTTGTTAGTAAAGGCCCATCCACTTTTAAGAACTTTGAGAACTCAGAGCCTTTAACTATCATGTCAGCTAGCTTTTAGCATATCTTATCATAGCCTTAGCCATGCTATTGTAAACCCGCTATTAATTGTCCTCGACAGGAAATTGCCCCAAAGAAATGAGTTCAGTTTCCTTGCTAGCCATCTAAAAGAATTGTGAGAGTTTTAGAGTATTGAGACATTGTGAAAGACCAACTCCATTTAATCAGAGACTAAAAGAAAGTCTTCAGTATTCCCATTTTATGAGAGCAAACTCTGTAGATGCATAGGAAAATTGAATCTCACAGTAATGAACAGAGGATATGTCAATTACATCTCAGTTACCTGCTGCTATGTTGTAATTTAGTTGAATGTTAATATATTTAAGTCTTAGAATAATATCTCATTTCATAAACAAAGGATTAGAAATATTTCTTCATATGTATTATTTGCAGTCTCACCACTAAAGGTCTTATTCTAAGAATAGGCCTTCAGTTATTACTCATTTTTTCATTTTTATGATGATTTATTAACTTCCTAAATGTGCAGCGACTGAAGCACCTTAGTAAGAAAGGATGTTAAAAATTATTTTAATTATTCTCTCTCTGCTTTTTATTGCTTTACAACATGTGTGAAAATGTCTTTGTCGGAGGAGTCTTCTCAAATGCAAATGAATTTTTTAGCCCTCGAAGGAGCAAGCTAAGAAACAGCAGAGTAATGATCTTTAAGACCTTACAGAAAATGGTGACCAGTTCCTCCTTATCTCTAAAGAAATCAAAGGACAGAGTTTTAGTTTATGCTTCCAAACTAACTTTAGCTAAGAAGGAGTAAGTAATAAGAAAAAAAACCAACCTCTTGTTTAGTGCTCTCTCTACACTGGGAAGGTAGAGGTATATGGGGAGGCCCAAGATTGGGGGCTGGTCCTGGTGCAGCCTTTATTCTGTCTGTGAACTTGGGCATGCCCATTAAACCCTTTGAGCTTCTCTCTGGAAAATAGGGATGATCATAATACCTTATCTCTCAAGGTGGTTGTGAAGATCCCATGAGATCAAGTTTGGAAGGTACCTTATCAACTGGAAAGTGCTTTTTAAATGTAAACTCTGACTAATATTCCTGAATAGGAACTTTTGCATTTGAATTTTGAGACAAAGTCATGGAATGCCACAATCTCTGAGGAGAGAAAACTTCAAGTCACCCCAAAGTCAGTGGTGAGGATGTGCATCAGGCATTAATAGGCTAGGAAGGGTGGGGAATCTGTGGCCTGGTGGCCTCATGTGGCCTTCTAGGTCCTTGGATGTGCCCTTCTAGGTCCTTGGGTGTGGTCTTTTGACTGAGACCAAGCTCATTATTAACGGAATTTGTTCTTTGAAGTTTAGATTCAGTCAAAGGGCCACACTTGAGGACCTAGAGGGCCACATGTGGCCTTGAGGCTACAGGTTCCCCACTCCTGGAAAGAATACTACTGATCATGAGTTGGGTGCATAAAGGAGAATAGAATACATCCTCAAATGTACAACAGAAAAAAAGGGTACAGGCTGGTTATGTAGATCTCAGCTCTATTGAAATATTTTGAAATAGATGGATGCCAAGGGAACATTTGGGCAGAAGCTATATCATATAACCCAATGGAAGTAGTATAGAGTCAGCTAAAAGTCAGGAGATCTAGGTTTTAGTCCTAGCTCTACCATTAGCTAGTTCAGAGGCTATGCAAGTTAATTCCTATGCCTCATTTTTCTTCTTTGTAAAATGTAACACCTGCCCCACCTATCTTGCAGGGTTGTTGTGAAGCTCCAATTAGATAATAAATGTTAAAACATTTGAAAACATTGCATTGATATCTTTTGTTTTTCTATCATTATTTCCAAATATATTTCCTTTCCTCTACCCAATGAGCCTTCTCTTGTAACAAAGAATAAAAAAGAAAAAAAAATCCAGTTAAGTAAAACTAATGAACACCACCAACAAAGTCAGATAGTATATGCAAAGGTCAACACCCATATTACCCAACCTCTGTAAAAAAAGGAGGAAGGGACATTTTATCATCTCTTCTCTGAAGTCAGGCTTGGATATTATAATTATGCAGCATTCTATAAGGTGCTATTCTTCTCTGACAGTCTCTTATTAAACAAAGACTGTCTTCTGTGATGATTAATAGATTCTGTCCACAGGTAAGGGTCTGGAAGTTTTCTTCAGAAGTTTCTTCTAGGTTTTTTTTTCTGCACTCATTTGTACAAGCTCATCCTTCCAGTGATTCAAATCATTCAGCATGGTGTAGTGAAAAAGAAAGTCCACTTTGAAGTCAGATGAGATCTGACTTTGAATTTAGCCTCTGATACTTACCAGCTGTGTAAGGATAGGAACATCACTCGTTTCCTCTGAGCCTCAGTTTCTTCCACCTGTAAGCTGGGGATAATAATATCCAGAATACTTACTTTCCAAAACTTTTACAAGAATCAAGTGAGCTAATATTTGCAGTCCTCTGGCTAGACAAGAAAGCTTTACTTAGCACCCAGTGCCTTCTAGGGAGAAATATGGGCCAGCTGGGGCTCATTTACTCTTTATTTGTCTTCCTTGACATTGGGTAGGACCTTATTGCTCTTGAGTAATGATGAACAATCATTTTTTCACCTTGTTCCTTTTCAACTGTTTCTTCTTAAGCACCAACTTTTACAATGGTTTCTGCCTCCCTCATCCAAGATTTGGGAACCAAGATCACATTGGGTAGAGAGGCAGAATGGTTTAAGGAAAAGAGGCCATGGTGGATTTATGGTTAGGGTTCCTTGCTTCAAATCCCACCTTGGCTATTTCCTCCTCATGTGACTGACCATGCGCAAGTCATTTAATCTGACCTTCAGTTTCCTTCTCTGTGCACTGGGGTAATAATAACACTTGACTTGAATGGTGGTTGTGAGGATAAAATGAGAATGTGTCAAGTAAGTTGCAAACTTTAAAGCACTGCCTTAGCTGTTATATCATTACTATTCCCATTTGATAAATGAAGGTAACATTGAAAGTCACACTGCATCAGGACCAGAGTATGATAGCTTTAAAGTTCAAGGTCATCTGGTCCAATCTTACTTTTCAGATGAGGAAACTGAGGCTTGGAGAGGACAAGATACTTGCCCAAATACTTGCTACCCAACACACGTAACAAGTGATGAATGTGAAATTCAGACTCTGACTCTAAATACAGCACTCTGTCTACTGCATCGTGCTGTCATATCAAGGTTACCCGATCCCCGTGGAGTCTAATGACTTCCCCTCACTAAACATACCCATTTGTGCTCAGGGGATAGAGGAAGAGACATGTTGCATTATTTCTTGAAGGACCTCTCTATTAGTAAGAACAAGATACCTCATAAAAAATGGAAACTGGCCCTTTTACATTTCTAAAGTGTCAAAGATTACTTAGCAAGTTCCTGCTTAAGCAAATTTTAGGTTTCTTTGTGTGAAATGAAGTATTCCTTCTACCAAACAGTGTTTTATAGAGAAAGCTATTTTTAATTTTCAGGGATATTTCTATAGTGATCATTGTTTTTAAAAATCAGAAACAGAATCGTTGAAGTTCTCAAATGTACTCTGAAACTACTTAGCATGTTAAAAAAGAAAAGAAAACCTTCCCTAATAGAGTTCTAGATAGTGTCTAAGAAAAGGAACAAGAGAATGTGATAAATTCATATCTGGATTACATTACAATGAGTTATGGTGGATTTTGTTTCATTATAACACTCTTCCTGACCCTCTCTTATTTTACATGACCCAACATAAATTTTGTGGTTTTAAGAAATGTGGCTGTACAAGGATGCAAAGTAAAGGCAGATGGAATTTCTGTTCTGCATTTACAAACGAGATTAGATGAGGTATGGTTACAGTCAATAAAACAAACCACTCTTACTCTGACACTCACCCATGTTGTGCTGATGAATATGACACTTCCCTTATTTTTCATTGATAATTAATGCATTTCATTCCTAGGGTGTGGTGGGATATAATTATGGAGTGGCTGGTTATTATCAAGTTCTTTATGGCACCTATAAACAACTACCAGATGAGAAAAGAAATGTTATTCAAACTTTTTTTTCAGATGGCCAATGTAGTTCCTTCATATTTTTTCTATTAGAGAAATCTTCTGTTAGAGAAATCTCTACCCAATAGCATTGTCCTCCAAAGTATAATGGTTATTGATAGATTAAAGGAAGAACTGACCAA